GTGTATTTATTCCAGATCTGTGCAGTAATCCAGTGTGAAACTTTGCCTCTGTGCAGAAGCTTCCTGTAATAAAGACCGGTCACTGCTGTTCTCTCTCCTTGTGCAGGGTGACTGGTCTTGTCTCCACCCCCTCCTGTAGTACAAACAGCCTGTAGTGGGTGGGCCTACTGAATCCCTCCCACAGCTCTGCCCTCTGCATGTGCCATGTACAGCACAATGGTGATGTCATTGCTATTTTTACAAAGTATTACTATATGTACAGTACTACACACTACCTCCTGCTTAACTGGTTCCACACCACCCTATAGCAGAAATACTGCTACCGGGCGGCATGGATGCGCAAAATCAGGTATCACGCCATTCGCGGCCTCGGCTGTCAATCACCAGGTCCCGGCTGGTGATTAATTGCTGGCACCCGGTGATTGCTGAGTATCTCCGACGTGGGAGAGACCTGTGTATGAACAACACAGACCTCTCCCTTGTCAGCTCCTGCATACTGCTTTGTATGGGTCTGCATAGCAGAGCCATACAAAGCAATGTGCTTACAGTGGAAAGCACACACACAGAACCCATAGTAAATCAGCACACAGTTAACCCTTTGATCGCCCCATGTTAACCCCTTTCTGTCCAGTGCCATTAGTACAGTGCCAGTGCTCTTTATTAGCACTGATCACTGTATTGAGGTCACTGGGGATGTCAGTGACACCAAGTCAGTTCTCCCCAGTGTCAGAATACCTGCTGTAGTCCTGTTATAAGTCGCTGATTGACGCCATTACTAGTAAAAAAAAAACAAAAATTCCAGTATATATACTGCCATTTGTAGACGCTATAACTTTCATGCAAACCAATTAATTTACACGTATTGGGATTTTTTTTTAGCAAAGACGTAGCAGAATACATTTTGGCCTAAATTTATGAGGAAATTTAATTTTTTTTTTTTTTTTTTTACTGAAAAAGAGGATTGGAACCCCTTCGAGCACCCCACGAGGAGATGGGAAGCACGTGACTTCTAAAATATATAAGATACTCACAAATTTAAGTAAGGATATAAGGCCACTATTTATAGAAAAATGGGAGAGGGATTTAGGAGTAATAATTGATGAGAAAAAACAAGAGAAAATGTATAGTTTAATTCACGGAAATGTAAATATGAAGGAGGTAGAAATGAACTATAAATTTTTGACAAGATGGTACATCACACTGAGTGTTGCACATAGGATAAGTGAAGATAATTTACCTTTATGTTGGCGGGGATGTGGAGATAGAGGCACAATGTTTCACCTTTGGGAGTGTCATAAAATACAAGAGTACTGGGGAGGTATAGTACATCTAATACAGGAAACAACAGAGGTCAATATTTCAAAGGAACCAGAGATTTGTCTTTTTTATGGCTCTGAGCTTTCAGTAAAAAAATACAAAAAAAATCGGATTAGTGTACTATTTGAATGCCACGAAGGGACTGATACCTAAATTTTGGAAGGAACAAGAAGCACCGAGAGTAAAGGATTGGATAGAAAGGGTGGAGAGGACCTACAAATTGGAGGAACTCTAGCACATGGAGGAACATAGGATGGAGATTTTCCGTAAAAGATGGGAAAAGTGGGAAGGATTTAAAAAGTCAAACTCATACTTGGAATATATATACTAGGGAAAAGAAGACATGGAGGATAATTATAATATTAAATTAAAAGAGTAATATTCTTTTAGGATAAATAGGACGAGTAGGAAAGAAATCAATCAGGGCTGCGGGGGAAGACTAAGAGGCTGGGGAGGTATGAGGTAGGAGGGAGGGGAAGGGAGAGGGGGAAAAAGGATACCAAGAGTAATGTTAATATTTTGATATATTGATAGATAAAAGTGAGTATCATATTATGGTGGTTTTATTAGCTTTTGTACATGGAAAATGGTATTTTGAAAATGTATAATAAAGTATTTGAATAAAATTAACAATTTTTTTTACTGGATATGTTTATTAGCAAAAAGTCAAAAATATTGTTTTTTTCTCAAAATTGTCGTTTTTTTTTTTTATAGCGCAAAAAATAAAAAAATGAAGAGGCGATCAAATACCACCAAAAGAAAGCTCTATTTGTGGGAAAAAAGGACGTAAATTTCATTTGGGTGCAGCATTGCATGGCCACGCAATTGTCAGTTAAAGTAACGCAGCACCGTATCGCAAAAATAGCCTGGTCAGGAAGGGGGATAAATCCTCAGGAGGGCAAGTGGTTAATCAGTATATACAGTATGTGCATAATAATAGTGCTTTAAATTAAATAGTTAAGTTTATTAAGTAATCAAGTTAAATATTGCATTAATAAATCAATAAAGTGACATATTGCATTGAAAATAAAGTGTCCAGTGCTTCAAAGTGCTTTTTTAAAGTGTCTGCTGCATTAAAAGAATCCTAAAGTGTCCTTGTAATCCTTGTAAGTGACCCGTATATTTCATTCGTTCCATCTCTACACTGGACTCTTTATTTCGGATGCCATGGGGTGATTTACTAAAACTGGAGAGTGCAAAATCTGGTGCAGCTCTGCATAGAAACCAATCAGCTTCCAGGTTTTATTTGTCAAAGTTTAATTGAACAAGCTGAAGTTAGAAGCTGATTGGCTACCATGCACAGCTGCACCAGATTTTGCACTCTCCAGTTTTAGTAAATCAACCCCTATATGTCACTTTAATGATTTTATCATGCAATATATCATGCTATTAATGTTTAAGCATTATTGTTATGCACATATTAATTGATGAATTGAGCATTGATTAGGCAGGAGGCAGTGTATAGCTCTGTATAAATAGTAATTCATTGTAACACTCAGCCTGGGTTCACACTTGTGCAGTGCGGCATATAGCATGTGAACTGCACTGAATTCCTGTGCAAATCACATGTGAATTCTGTGCGGTGTGATTGAAGCCATACATTTTGTAAGGATCAAATTGCACCGAATCCACACCAAAACGTTGCAGGACCCTTTTTTTTGTCTGCACTGGAATCGGATTGCATGGGTATTCACACCCATGAGGTCCGATTCTGCACATTGCACCGAGTTATGTGAACCGATTTCGGGGTGTTGTTAACTTACCATACACACCCGCAGCGGTTCGCATGCACAGGGTGCGATTATGATGCGGTGTGGAATTGGCACAGAAACCAGTGCAAATTCCGCACTGCATCAGTGTGAACCCAGGCTAAAGCTCACCATAGATGGTTTGAACCTTGTCCAGTTCAGCAGGGACTTCGAGATTTGAACCAAGCATGGACAGGTCGATTGTACCTACGTTGATTGATCGATCAACTCGGGTACAACCAGCATGCTGGAATTTTAATGCAATTATTGCCAGCAGCTGCAGCCACCTGCTAGAATCGCGGTGTGTTCTCCCAGCATGGACAGCTCCCCCCTCCACTGCGAGAACACAATTGTGCCATAGGTGGGATTTCCCCATCAACACTTACCCCTGGTTCACACCTAAGCATTTTCTGCAGCGTTTTGCAGAAACACAGTAACACATTTAACATGATTTCCTATGGGACATGTTCACATCTGCACGGCTTCATCCGGTGTGTTTTTTGGAAAGGGTCAGGGACTTTTTTGAATGCAAAAAGTTGCATTTTTAGTTCTATAGGCTTCAATGGAAACTCTGCAGAAAAGCATGTATAGCATTTTTGTTGCGTTTTTGATGTGTTTTAAATCTCCCTAGCAAGTAAAATTTGTAAAAAAATTAACGGAAAAAAAAAATATAGCAAAACGCGTCAAAAATGCAGGTGCAAAACGCAATGCAGAAAAGGGTCAAAATCAACCTGCATAGGTGTGAACCTAGCCTAATGCAGGCCATAGATGGGGAGAAAAACGGCAGATTTTCGGCCGATTAACGAACTATCGGTCGGTCTAAAAAACTTACCTGACCACCAATTATTACGAAAATCGGCCGATTAATGAGTAACCTATAACGGGAAATGATGTCATTTTGTGGCCTTTGTGATCCTTTTTCGGAAAAACGATCGTTCGTTTTTGACCATCAATGAGGATAAAGTCGGGCGTTTTTCGAAAATTTTCCAACATCACCGATAATCTGAAAGTACAAAATACACGAAAAACGGCCGACAAAATCGTCCACTAACGATAAGATAATCGGCCGGTTTTATTTTCGGACGAAAAATCGGCCGTTTTTCTCCCCCATCTATGGCCTGCATTACTGTGTTGATGGGAAAATCAAGCAATTTTCTTTCCTGCAATCAGTGGTGGCAGGAAAGAACATTGCACCATCTGTGGCTGGCCTTAGGGCTCGTTCACACTTGTCCTTACTTCTAACTCTTGCCAAACGCCCTATAGCAATTGACAGGTGTTAGACAGGCATTTGACAGGCGTTAGACAGGAGTTTGGGAAGCGGTTTTAACACTCCTCAAACGCCCCATGCGCAGTTTTGAGGTGGTTGATAGGCATTTGCCAAGTGTTAAAACCGCACCACAAACATCTATAATGAAGTTAAATGGTATTAACGCTCCGCAACTGCACCGCAAATGCCTGCCAGGCTATGCGGAGCGGCACCATAGACTTGAATGGGAGGCTTCAACCCCTCCTGTCTCAACACAAGGCGTCAGTTTTGCCACGACGCAACGCGACGCTAATGCTTCAGTGTGAACAGCACTGTGTGCTGCCATGTGCAGAATTTTCATAGTCATTTGAGAAGTGTTAAAACGCTTTCCAAGCACCTGTCTGAGGACTGCTGACACAGCTAGTGTGAACTGAGCCTTAGAGGTAGACGGTGTTTGCTACAGCTGCTGAAAAAATTAATCTTCCATCCAGAGCAGCTTAAGCAAGATTGATTTTTACAAGGTAAAATCTGGGTTTGAAAAGGTCTTTGGGGCACGCAAAGTGAATGTATATCATTTGTGGCTATAATTTATTTATTTATTTCAGGTACTTATATAGTGCCGTCAATTTACGCAGCGCTTTACATATATATTGTACATTCACATCAGTCCCTGACCCTCAAGGGATGTACAATCTAAGGTCCCTAACTCACATTCATACATACTAGGGACAATTTAGACAGGAGCCAACTCACCTACCAGCATGTCTTTGGAGTGTGGGAGGCAGGGGCGGACTGACAATTTGTAAACTCGGGCACTGCCCGAGGGCCCCGGGGGTCTGTAGGGGGCCCCATGAGATGCTCCTCCTAGGTACCTTTTTCATAGGCTTTTTTGAGTTTGGGCAAGGACACAGGGTCCCATGATCCCCTATTGCCCGGCGGCCCCATGAGTTGTCAGCCGCCCCTGGTGGGAGGAAACCGGAGTCCCCGGAGGAAACCCACACAGGCACAGGGAAAACATGCAAACTCCAGGCAGGTGGTGCCGGGGTTGGGATTAAGGAATAAATTGAAATATTTTTCTGTGCCTGGAGATCAGGTCAGCATCTTTGTTTATATGGTGCTTCCAATTGATCACTCATTACTCAGCGACAGAGCCACTTAGAATCATGACTCCACTTTGGTTGAGCAATAATCACTCTTCTCTCTGTAGATTCCTAATTCCTGCTGTTCAGCAGAAATGACCAAGGAAATTCCATTCACTTCCTCCTTCCCGTGTGCTGAGTAGAAGGGTCTGCCTGACCTATGTTATATTATGAGTGCAGGTCGTATAATGGCAGCAAACTGCCGGGCAAGAAGCCACTAGCAAGAGCAGGAAGTGACATTTCTGGGGACGCGCTGTACAATGAATGCCCCCCTGTTGCCATGGTTACAAGGAAGGAAGATTTCATTGTTTTGGCAGTTGCAGAAAATCGCAGCTGTCTGCAGTTTGAAAGCAAAAGGTCATTTTTTTTTAATAAAAATGAAATTACAGATGGCTGCTCCAGCGATTATAAATGTCATTTCAATTATTTCACAAAAGTGGAGTTACCCTTTAAGGGTCCTTAGGGTGAGCAATCATCTGCAGCATGCAAAGTACAGGCAATTGATTCAGAGAACTTCACATTTACTGATTTATAAATAGGTCCCTAAGTGTCAAAAAATCGCAGCCTCAATAGGCTCATTTATTTTCTGACCACTGATAATGGATTCTGTATTCACCTGCGCTGTGTGTGAATGACAGCTGCATTTATCCATAGTCATTGGCACAGGATATTGAAAACAAAAAAAGAATTCAGGTCAATGGGAAATGTTGATGATGACTGAGCTGGTAATAGTATAGTGAGAGCAGTGATACGTTCATACAATGGCGGTGTGTACCTATGGATTAGCAATACATTGATGGGGCACCTATAGATCAGTGATACAGGGATGGCATAATTATGGATTAGTACAGCAATGGTGGAACTATACATTGTTGGGACAGTGATGTATAAATACAGATTATAATTATTAGTATAGTTGTAGGGGTTCATTTAAAACTGGGGAGTGCAAAATGTGGTACCGCTCTACATAGAAACCAATCAGCTTCCAGGTTTTATTGTCAAAACGTAACTGAACAAGCGGCAGTTAGAAGCTGATTGGCTGCCATGCAGAGCTGCACTAGATTTGGCACTCTCCAGATTTACTAAATCAACCCCATAGTGTAGCCATGGATTAGTGGTATAGTGATGATATAACTCTGGGGCAGTGGCACAGTGATGGTGTAACTATGGATTAGCGGTACAGTGATGGTGTAAACTATGGATTAGCGGTACAGTGATGGTGTAACTATGGATTAGCGGTACAGTGATGGTGTAACTATGGATTAACGGTACAGTGATGGTGTAACTATGGAATTAGCAGTACAGTGATGGTGTAATTATGGATTAATGGGTACAGTGATGGTGTAACTATGGATTAATGGTACAGTGATGGTGTAACTATGGATTAGCGGTACAGTGATGGTGTAACTATGGATTAAAACGTACAGTGATGGTGTAACTATGGATTAATGGTACAGTGATGGTGTAACTATGGATTAACGGTACAGTGATGGTGTAACTATGGATTAGCGGTACAGTGATGGTGTAACTATGGATTAATGGTACAGTGATGGTGTAACTATGGATTAATGGTACAGTGATGGTATAACTATGGATTAGCGGTACAGTGATGGTGTAACTATGGATTAATGGGACAGTGATGGTGTAACTATGGATTAATGGTACAGTGATGGTGTAACTATGGATTAATGGTACAGTGATGGTGTAACTATGGATTAATGGTACAGTGATGGTGTAACTATGGATTAGCGGTACAGTGATGGTGTAACTATGGATTAATGGTACAGTGATGGTGTAACTATGGATAAATGGTACAGTGATGGTGTAACTATGGATTAATAGTACAGTGATGGTGTAACTATGGAATAGAGGTACAGTGATGGTGTAACTATGGATTAGCGGTATAGTGATGGTGTAACTATGGATTAGCAGTAAAGTGATGGTGTAACTATGGATTAATGGTACAGTGACGGTGTAACTATGGATATTAGCGTACAGTGATGGTGTGTAACTATGGATTAATAGTACAGTGATGGTGTAACTATTTAGTGGTGCAGTGATGGTGTAACTATGGATTAATGGTACAGTGATGGTGTAATTTTGGATTAGCGGTACAGTGATGGTGTAACTATGGATTAGCGGTACAGTGGATGGTGTAACTATGGATTAAATGGGACAGTGATGGTGTAACTATGGATTAGCGGTACAGTGATGGTGTAAACTATGGATTAATGGGACAGTGATGGTGTAAACTATGGATTTTAGTGGCATATGATGGTGTAAATATGGATTAGTGGTTTACTGTAGCAATGGTGTAAGTATGGATTAGTGGTTATTGAAGGTGTATCTATTGAATATGGTGGATGAAGGTTGAAATTATAAATTGGTGGTAGATACAGTATAGCTATAGACCAGTTATAAAGGGAGGGAAAAATTAAATAATGGTAGTAGGATAGTGTAGATATGGATGAGTGGTATAGAGATGGTATATAGTTACCAAATTGGTGGTAGAGGGTTAGTATAGCATGTGGATCAGTGGTACATGGGGCGTAAATATAGATTGTGTTAGAGTAATAAAGATTGTAGTGTGAGTTATACAGAATGATCTTACATATATTGAAATGCGGTAGAGGGATATGTAGGTATAGATGAGTGGTTATAGAGACGGTATAAGTTACAAATTAGTTGGTTAGAGGAGGTTATAGCTGTGCATACGCAGGGTACAGGGACTGAAAAAAGTATAAATTGGCTGGCTGTAGAGTGATATTGTAGTATGGTGAGTTTATAAAGAGATGGTAAAGTTACAAATTGGTGGTAGAAGGATAGTGTAGCTATGGATGAGTGGTATAGCGATGGTATAGTTAAAAATTGGAGGTAGAGGGTTAGTATAGCTGTGGATCAGTGGTATACCTATTCATCTGCGTTCCCAAAATCTCCTTTTCCTTACCCTCTGCTCCACCCCAAAGATTACACATCTCACCCTCACTGCTACCATCTCCCTACTATGCTCTCATCACCTCCTGCTGATACTATCAACACTCACCATGCTGTCCCAAACACCCAGGACTGGAAGGCATTTATACTCGTGTACATCCTGCTCCCATGTTACTTCCTCACTCTCTTCTTCTTCTCTTAAACTCTGGGGATATCGCCCCAAACCCTGGTCCTCCGAGTATCTCACCCCCACACCAGCCACCCTCCTTCCTCAGGAATAGCGCAATCCCCCTTCAATTTAATATCAATCCCCTCATGCTCCAAAAAACCACCCTCCTTTTTCATGTGCACTCTGGAACGCCCCCTCTGTCTTGCAATAAGCTCACCTCTGTCCATGACCTTTTGTCTCCCGCTCCGTTAACCATACTAGCAATTACAGAATACCTGGCTTCAAGCAGCAGATTCTGCTTCTCACGCAGCACTTTCCTATGAGGCCTTCTCTGGACTCACTCACACCCGAACCAGTGGTTGGAAAGGTGGTGTGGGGGTTGGTTTGCTTCTATCCCCACTGAGCACTTTTCAAGTCCTCCTAACCCTCCCTCTCTATCCTTCTTCTTTCGAGACTCACTGCATCCGGCTGTTTTCGTCGGTCCCATTTCTCTGAGGATTGCAGTGATGCTATTGGCCTCTCCTGGACAGGTGTCCCAGCATTCTTGATGATTTATTCGCTTGGCTACCCTACTTTCTCTCCTCTTGAACTACCCACTATCATTCTTGGAGATTTTAACATCCCTGCATTCAGTCAACAACCCGGCTACCTCCAACTCTTCAAGCCTAACCTCATCTCTTTTGCATTAGCAGAATGTATACAGTCCTCCACTCACTCTGATGGGAATACATTAGTTTTACCTTAGACCTTTTTTCTCCGTCTTTACACTCCCACAACCTCCAGGCAAACACCCCCTTTCCTCTCTCGTGATCAATATCTCATCACCTTCACAGTGTCCTCATCTTCAAACACTTATCCCTCCAAGCAGCAAACACATTACCTGCAGAAAACTCACAACACCTGAACCCTGCTCCTTTCCACTCTGCAACTGACCAACTCTACGACAGAATCTCTCTCCCTCGGCCCTGCCCTGACCTGGCCACTACTGTCCCTATAACAGTTTGCTTTCATCCACATTAGACTCACTTGCTCCTCTAACAACACGAAACATCAGGCCCCGACCGTTACAACCTTGGTAGACGACGACGACACCAGAAATCTTAAACGACAGCGCGCGCAGCTGCGATTCAGTGTGCGTAAAACCAAATCTCAACAAGCATGTGCACCGAGCGGATATAAATCATCTCGCTTTCTTAACATACTCAATTCCCTCCCTCCATGCTGCCAAACAAGCCCACTTTGTCACGACATATTAATTACTTGTCATCCAGTCCTCGTCGTCTCTTCTCTACTTTTAAAACTCTCTACTTTCTCCACCTTCACCTCCATCCAGCACCTCACTCACTGCTCACGAGATTGCAAATTATTTCAAAAGCAAGACTTTTGCAATTCGTAGGGGCATCTCCACTGCACAGACATCCATCCCACTTATCGCATACCTTATACTAAACCTCCGTCAACACTTTTCTCTTTTGACCTTGCTACTACCGAAGAGGTCACTAAGGTTTTCTCAGAAGCCCGTCTCACCAC